AGCTCACTGAGAACTGGTCTCACATCAGAGCAAGAAGAGGACCAAGTGGTGGGTGGAACAGCAGCTCCCTGAGCAGACAGCCTCTTTGCAGCTGCCATCCCACACATCCCATGGTGCTGCCTTCAGGGTTGCTGTCTTGGGCTCTTATCCCTCCCCTTTCTCCTGTCAGAATCCTGCAGCCAAAGACACAGCAGGTGACAATGATGAGAGAATACAGACCCCCTCACAGCAGTGTTCACTTGCTGCCTTGTACACCCAGGACTTTGAGTCCAGTCCACTACCACATGGAACTCAGCACCCACTAAACTCATGTAGAAGGCAGGGCTCCCCAGTCACTGAACCCGAAGAACACTTCAGGCAAAGCCCTGTTCTTTTCTGGGCAGGTTTCCTCCATGGTGATGCTGCTCCTTCTCGAGATGGCACCTGCTGAATTTGCTTACAGTGGGACCTTGATTAACAATCTGGAGTCATTTAGTCATACTCAGTATCCTGTGACTCCATTAGTGACATCAGACCTGTGAGGACATGAGCCACACTCGAATTCTCAGATTAAAGTTTCTGAAACTCCCTTGAAATAATCTCATAGTGCTTGTTGTGAATGTACAGACCAATCTTTCTTGAAATTATCCAGCAGACTTTCACAATGATGACGTCTTTTCTGAATCTGAGCTATCTATCATGTAGGGCAGTAAGTACCAGTGGGTATCCCTTACATTAAAATTAGAATAAATGAAAAAAGCTAAACTTCAGCTCTTCACCAAGACCTGCCAGAAGTTAGGAGCTCACAGCTCACAGGTTAGTGCAGGTGCAATGTATAAAAGCAGGAATTCAGCCCTGTTCCTCAGCAGCAACTTCCCTTCTGCTCTAGGTTGATGATGGAAATGTAGAAACACAGGTCCATTGCATCACAGAGCTGGGTCCCACATGAGAGACCCACAGACCATAATATTTATATAAATGGCATGATGAATTTGTCTCCTGGCATCAGGTAACAAGCAAAATCCCTCCTGCACTGTCTCACACCTTCTGCCTCCTGGAAATTGCTATGATAAAGACTTTGCCCCAGCACTGAGGCTGTGAGCCTATCCTGATAGGGATATCCTGTAAACAGGTAGCAACAGCCACTCTCTGCACTCCGTGTGCTCTGGACGCGGGTTTCTACTGAGCACCCAAGCCTCCCTTTATCCCTCTTCTTCCCTGGAATCAGAGTCTGTGAAGAACAAGCCCTAGTTCACTACTCTGAACTAGGGACTCCCTAACGGTTGGAATTTGCACTCTGTTTTCTTCCTATAGAATTCTCCATATTTCTGGGGCATTCAGTGTAGACACAGTTTCCCTTCATCTCTCAGCCTCATTGAGGAGGGTCTGCAGACCCCATGGTGTCTGTGGCCCTCAGTGCACAGTTTACTGTTTAGTACCCGATCTCCCTGGCCTCTCATGCCTGGAACATCAATGCTCTGAGGCCCAGGTGATTCCCATTCACCTTTCTCAGCAAGTTGTCCACCAAGGTTCCTGTCAACAGAGGGTTCTGGAACACGTGTTTGGGAATTGTGTTGATGTCCACCCTGACAGAGGAAGACTGTACGGACTCCAGGACCCTCTAATGTGACCCAGTCACTCTCTTCTCCTAGAGGAAGTAGAGTGATGGTGCTTCCCCTGCTGTCTGAGGCCTGTGGCTGAGAGGCACATGCTGGTCCACACACACTGTGAGCTTGCTGTGTGCAGGATGGCCAGCCACACTGCAGGACACACACAGCCCACGCTGCAGAGGATGGGGTGAGAAGGGACAGGCAGACCTCCACACCCTTTCTCTGTCTCACCTAGCATGGATCTGGGTCTGGTGCAGCTCACCCAGTGCTAATAGGAAGCTGCACCAGCAATAAATATTCATAGCTTTGCAGCACAACACAACCGGCCTCTCAGTGTTACAGACTGTGGGTTTTCTTTATCAAGAGTGATGGAAAATAGATTACAAATTAGGCCTTTAAAATGTTTTTACACTTTCCTGCTCAACATTTCCCCTGTATACTCAAGTGTGGCTGCAAGCCATTGTATGGGGGGAAAACATGTTAACCAATTTTCCATTGGTAGGAGTTTTGTAACTGTTATCTTCCTCCCAATAAGCAATGATCACCTGGCCCAAAAATACAATGGTCAAATCTATTTGGTGGAGGGAATTCTCTTCACAGTCTGTTTCAGTGTTCTCTGTTGTTTCTTTTCCCTGGGTTGCCTAACACATTTTTCTCATCCTTTATTAATTTTTCTTACTATTTCTGGAATACTTTTAGTTCTTGGGAGACATGAGATTTTTCAATTTTCAATTGGAAAAAGACAAGAGCTCCCCCAAACTATTAAATGCTACCTTTGATCAACTTCCCAAGACACTGCTTTCTGTCAGGTTCTGATACTCTAAGCTCTCTCCAGAATCCTGGTTAAACCTTCCTAGCACTCTAGGCTGTCTCTTGGGTGTTTCTCCCCACTTTTACAAATTCCACTCCTAGACCAATTCCACAGCCACTCCCAGTGGTACCCATAGCTCATGTGACTCCAGATCATTCCTGATCCATCCACCAGGTGATGCTGTTCCCACTGCAGGTACCCATCCTGCTTCCCTGTGCTCTGGTCACACTGCTCTGGGCACAGGTCACCTCTACCAGGGGCCTCTCCCATCTCTGGACCATGTGGGTATTCAGTCTATTTGCCCTTTGTGTCCCTGCATTTCCTGCATGAGGACACTGAGCTTTCTGTCCCGGAGTAGTCACAACAATCATCCAGATGCATATGAGGTCTCACAGCCAGGAGCTACTGCCAGCTCTAGTCCCCATCCCTGTGCACAGCAGCTCCACAGTGTGACCCTGGCTGGGGAGGTTCAGAGGGAGCCTCACCACTCCAGGCTCTCTCAGTGCTGTCACCTTTCACAGTGCTTTCTTCACACAGGACAAGGATGGGATCATTGCTCCCCAGATCCTGTAACCTGGAGAAAGTTGTTCTCCAAGCCATGGTGAAGCCCTGCAGCCCTTCTCCTTTTCCCTGGATCCAGTACAGGCCGCTGGGCAGGGAGAGTCTCTGTAGCCCCAGTGGAAACTTCAGCCCTGGAGGGAACGCATTAGCGAGCAGCAGAAGCGGCTGCTGTCCCTGTGTGTGAACAGCAACACCTGTCACTGTCCTCACACACAAGTGAACATCCCAATGGTAAAGCAAAGAAGGAAAGCAAAGACCTGCATGTGCGACTTATCCTGCAGCCTCCTTTTCATGCAGGGCCACTCTCTTTTCAAGGACAGCCCAGGCCCAGGGGATGGTGAAGCCCAGCTGAGCTCTCAGCCCACAGCACAGGTGTAGGAACAGCTGCTGTGACTCACTCTGCAGCATAGGACAGGAGTCGTCCTTCAAGTTGAAGGAAAACCATGAACATGGGACACTGAAATCAAGCCCAGGAAGCAGCACACATTTATTTGAGCTGCTGGGTCAGTCAATGTGTGGTTACTGTAGCAGAATTCTGGAGACAGGCACTATAGAGAGGGGAAAACCTAATGAGGGGAGAGGTCCCCTCCATCTCCTGTTACTGCGGAATGAGGGATCAGATGCTGGGTCACCACTGAAGTTCTCCCTCTCAGCACGCTGGCCATGTGCTCCTCTAGACTGTGAGGTATTTCTAGAATCCAGGAAAACTCTCCTAAGCAAACACTCATTTAAAAATGGCCCAGGAGTGGCAGTACAGAGGAGGCTCTCAAAAAGTTAGTGTCCAGGTTGCAGTCCGGTTTCTGTAGTCATGAAGGACAGATCCCAGTCCTTCCTTGAAAGAATGAACTCTTGCCATGTGGGAAGTCCTGGGACTAGGAGAGCTCAGACACAGAGATTTCTCCATGCAACTTCAGATCCTGAGCCTGTAGAAGGCAGAGCCCAGTACAGGGAGAAGCTGTCCGTCTCCTTTGGCTGGGTCCACAGAGGTGGGGATGAGAGGCGGCAGCAGCTCTGACTTTCCATTTCCATTCCTCTGTGTGTCCTGCAGTGCTGAGGTCTACACTGTCAGAGCTGGATCCATCAGAGAAGGTGACATGATGCCTATAGTGCCTATTCTGCTCTGCCTAGGTCAAGACTGGGAGGAGAAAGGCACCAGGCTGGGGTGGAGAGCGGGATCGGGTGAGGCATCAGACAGAACCTCTGATAGCACAAGAAATTTTCTTCCAGGGCTGAGTCTGCACATGGTGCTGCAAGGACCTGCAGGTGAGTCCTCCCCAGCACTCTGTGTCCTGCCCCAGCCTCAGTTCCTGGCCTTCAGTTGGCAGAACAGAGGTTTGGCCTGAGCATGAGGATGAGGATGGATGCAGGATATGGATAATATCTTGGGTCCAGCCTCTCACTCCCTTGCAGGGACCCATCCCAAACCCACACTGTGAGCCGAGCCAGGCTCTGTGTTGCCCTGGGGGAGCTCTGTGAGCATCTGGTGATAGAGGATGCTGGGATGCAGGAAGTACAATCTACAGAGAAAAAAGATCCAGGATCTTGGAGATGTCACTGTTGCTCAACAATAAGGACAAGTTCTCCATCCCATCCATGACTGATGGCCATGCAGGGTGATATTGCTGCTACTATCAGAGCACTACTGGATGGTCAGAGCACAGTGATGCCTTGGAGCTGATGGTGACAGATGAGAGGACACTCAGAGACCCAGCTCCAGGCTCTGCCCTCAGGAAGGGCTCTACTCTCAGGGGTGGCCTCGTCTCACAGCCTGTGGACAGCGTGCAAGGTGTGGGTCCATTTTACATGCTGCCTCCTCTCCTAGGAATCTACAGCAAACGCAGCCTCTCAACTCTGTACAGCCATGCAGTGACATCAGGAGACAGGGTGACCCTCCAGTGTATCACAAGACAACAACTTGGTGGGTTCATTCTGACTAAGGAAGGAGGAGCCAAGTTCTCCTGGACTCTGGACTCAAGGTGACTTCTCAATGGATAGTTCCAGGCCCTGTTCTCTGTGGTTTCCATGATTCTTGGGCACAGGTGGACATTTAGATGCTATGGCTATTACAGGAGAAGCCCCCAGGTGTGGTCCATACCCAGTGACCCCCTGGAACTGCCTGTCCCTGTACTCTCACTGCTCAAAGTGTCTCTAATTCTTTAACCTGTAAGGAAATATTTTGTCAGTTGGAGTGAGGATGACCTAGGGGTTCCAGCCAGGGGAAATTCCTTCCTCTAAGCTAGCAGGGCTCCTCCCATGCATGCCCACCCAACTGGTTTCATTTGAATTTAAAAAGTGTCCTGTGGGCAGGGAATGGTTTTGGAGAGATCTCAGGGGTGATTTTGGACAGTTATCTGTGACAGGGTGCCCAGAGGGATCCCATGATGACACCTTATTTTGTATTCATTGCCAGGATCATCTAGTCCCAGCCCCACAACCGCAGGGCCCATCACCACATCAGGCTCATCTACAGGATGCTTTGGGGACCTCTTCACCCCACACCACCCTCCACAGCAGATGAGTCTTGGTCTCTGCCCTCAGCGTCCTGTGTCCAGACTTCTTGGAGGCTCTCAGCCCACCTCAGCCATTTTCACAGCCTCAGCTCTACTTGTGTGCAGAAACCAGGGCTTCAATTGGAGGTATGGACAGGACCTGAGCAGGAAAGTATCATCTCTAGTATTTCATCTGTAGACTACCTGATTAGGGACAGCAGTGCCATGTCTCAGGATTGTGAGGGTCTGAGATGATAAATGCAAACCTCACACAGGGTCATCAGTAAGCACATAACTTCCTAATCTTGACATCACTCGTAGCCATGGTCAAGGAAGGAACCTGAAAGTTCTGTCTTGGATCTCAGTGATCTTTCTCCTCCTGCTTGCACTGCTTGTGCTCTTACGACTCCAGTGTCAGGACCACTGAAGGAAGGCAGGTGAGGAGGGAGAGGATGACCTGGGTTGCACCCAGGGAGGGATCGGTAGCTGGGCTCAAGACCCCAAAAGCTGAAAGAATCCGGGTCTGAAACCAAGCAAGAGAAGCCATGGCAAATGAGGGAGGGCATCACAAAGTGTCACCAGGCTGCCTCCTTCTTGTCACAAGGACCCATCTCTGCTGCCACCTCCCCAGAAGATTCCTGCAGCTTTGAGGTAAATTGTCCTCTCCTACACTCATATCCTCTCACCCAAGTCTGCTATTTTCTCCATATTTCCTTACCATATGATTTCTTTACTTGAGTCTACAGCTCCTGCCTGCAAGGCCAGAGCTCCCTGAGGGCAGGACCCTCTTCTGTGTCTCCCCCTGCACCTCAGCAAGCTCTCTCCAGGCTGCTACCCAGGGAATGAGGAGTAGTGTCCTGCAGCCCTGCCTCTCCTCCCTGCAGTCTGCATCACCAGCCCACAGGGAGTGCTGCCTTCTCCAGGGTTCAGTCTGTGAAGCTGGGAGTGTGGCTGACACCCACCACCACTAAGCAGTCTGTATCCTTGGAGCAGGACAGAGCACAGGACAGACAGACAGCGGTGACAGAGCACAGGCCAGGCACAGAGACCCAGGCAGTGCAGAGCACTATGAGCCATGCATGGCAGGGAAGGGCAAGTGTCTGTGGGAAGAGCAGGGAGGGCTCCAGGAAAGCATGCAGCACATGTGTCTCTGGGCACACGTGCCTCTACAGAGACCTAAACACAGGACACTCCTGTGATTGTCCCAGGGATGAGCATACCTGCAACGGAGCAGGAAGTGCAAGGCCAGGTGGGGAAACAGCACTTGTTCAAGAGCAGGCTGATGGTAAAGGACAGAAGGGAGGTGGAGGTGATGGTGAAGGACAGAAGAAGTCACTGGAGGTGATGGATGAAGGACAGAAGTGTCAGTGCCCATGTGCAGAGCTTGGTAGGGCTCAATCCCAAGGATCCCTGGGCTCTGATGGAGCTGGGAAGCCACTGGGGGTTTGCTCAGTGAGGATCTAAGCTGACTGCTGTCACAGTGCTCACTCTGGGGTCCCTATGGCACTGAGTGATGGTGTAGAGCAGAGTCAGGGGGCAGCCTTTGTCACTCCCTATCTGCTGCAGAGCCCTGAGCATGAGGACCCTCAGGAAGTGACCTACACTCAGGTGCAACCCTCCAGAAGAAGATGTAGCAAGGTGCCCCTACTAACCCCACATCAAGGCTATTCCAGGATCTGTGCATGAGATCCACAGGAGAGGACAGGCTCAGGAACAGGTAGGTGAGTCTCATCACCTGTTGGTCCCCAATTTTCACACACTGCACCCACATTCCTATCCCTACTCTCTTCCTCCAAGAAACTGACTCTGAAGGTCCCTGGAGAGTGATCCATGTCCAGCTGAACAGCTTCAAGAAGAGACAGGAGTCAACCACAGACCCTTCCTCCCAGAAAGAGGAGCACCCAGCTTCACCCAGTTTGTACACCCACCTGATGGTATCTCCATCAGTACAGGAGATACCTCAGACCCCACAGTGCAAGTACTGAGACATGAGCATGGGTCAGAGCAGACCAACCCCATGGACACTCAGATTGTGAATTGCAGCTCCCTGGACCCATGGCATGGACAGCCTAGGGCTACTGAGATATTTAAAAATAGCTTGATTCTGCAGTGAGTCATTGCTAATGTAGCATGTTTGGGATACATAATAACTGTATTTTCTAAATAATTATTATGCAAGTAGAAATTCCAGACCCAGTGCAAAATGTACAGTAATGAAAAATTGCACATGAAACTGGAAATGCAAGAGATGAAGGACTTTTAATGTAATCCAAAGTCTTAAATAAAAACTCAGAAACAGAAAAAAGCCTGAAAATAAATCAAAGATTCAAGTGCACATCAGAAGAAAGAAAGAGCAAATGAGGTTTTGAAAGCGGTAGAAAGAAGGAAATACTCATAATACAGAGTAACTTGATTCTGCACTTCAGGCTCTGGAGCTAACCAAACTCGAGATGAGTGGGGCTGCAAGTTTTGCATTCTCCACATGTTTGTGGTTTGAAGGGGAGAAGTGTTCCTGGCGTTGCAGGGGTCTCTTGGAAGGCAGAAGAGACTGAGAGCTTTTCCTGCAGGAAACAGACAGAAAGGTCCACTGCCTGTAGCAGGGATGCCTCAGCAGGGGCCTGGTGAGACACAAAGACTGTGAAGTAGGGAGCCTGGAATCTGGGCTCAGGAGGTTATGGACCCCTCCTGTGCTTGCCAGAGAGAGGACAGAGCAGCAGCCTGAGGACCCCATCCACCCTGGGCAGGGCAGGTCAGCAGCACCTCAGCATTTCCCAGTTCAGAGGCCTCGGGCATCTTAACACAATTGCACATGCAACCACCTTAGAGTATTCATTTGGCCTTATTGTGTTTGAAAACGTGGACGTGTTTCAGGTTTTGTTTAGCATTGCCACATCTTGAATTCCATGTGAAGTCCAAAGACTTCCAGTTCACAGACTTTTGTAGAATTGAAGAGGAGGCTGATTTCCATCTTTCTTCAGAGGATGCAGAGGTGGAGAAGGACAGAAGGCACAGAGCAGGCCAGAGCTCTCCAGAGACCCACAAACTCCAGGCCATGCCCACAACACCCTCTCTGTTCCCTGAACCCTTCTTTCCCCGGCTCAGCCCTTAGGCTTAGGTCCTGGAGAGGAAACCAAGCAAGAGTAGGGTCATTCTGGGAGGAGTACAGGACTGGGTAGGTTACAGCCACCACTGGGATGAGAGAAATGCTTCTCCTCACAGGTGTGAGAGAGCAGGGATCCCCTCCTGCAAGGCCTTAGCCAATTCATACCCTTGTTGTACTCTGCAATATGACAACCAGGGAGTCTTGGAAAGTCAAAGCCCTTGTTCTGTTTCTCTCCCTGCTAGCTGCTCCCTGCTGTGCTACTGTGAAAGACTGGAAGGTGGTGCCTCTATTTTAAGTGCCATGCCAGGAGTAGCTTCCACCCCTTCCCCACCATGGCTGTAATTACTCACACTCCCTCCAACAGAATAGGGTTTCTCCTCTCCCCACAGCCTTGCCAGGATTTTCTTCTTGTCTTATTAATCATAGATATTCTAATGAGGTGATACCTTGGTGTGGGGTTCATTTTTATTTCCTTAACAAAATGGAGTTCTGGGTATCTTGTAATGTAGCTGTGGACTGTCTGTATGTCTTGGGTGTTTGTTGTTTTTGTTTTTGTTTTGCTTTGCTTTGTTTTATACTGGGAGTCAAACTCAGGACTTGCACTTCTCGGCAGGCTCTGGTGCTGCTGAGCTATATCCGCAGTGCTTCCAGCAATTGGCTTGGTTTGAAAATGTCTTCAAGAAGGTAATGCATACTTTGATGGGGTTTGTGCTGAGCCTATGGGTCCCTTTGGTAATATGGGAATTATGGCAGTGTTAATTCTCCCAACACATCAATACAGAATGTCAGTCTGCACATTTGTGTCCCCCTGACAAAATTTTTTTGAGAAGATCTATCCTCTCTTGGTTAGATATATTTCTAAGCATATTTTTGTAGCTATTGCAAGTAGAATTGTTCTTTTGGTTTTTCTTTTCCATTATCATGCTACCATAGCAAAGAAGCAACACTTATTTTTATATGTTAACTTTATAACCTGCCACAGTTTATTTGTTCTAATAGATTTTTTTTTCTGTAGCATCTTTAGGGTCTTCTACATATAAGATAACATCTGCAAAGAAGACCATTTACTTCCTCTTTTCCGGATCAGTGTCTGTATTCCTTTCTCTCCCCTGATGCTGTGCTAGGACCTCCAGGACCATGCTGAATAGAAGCAGTGAGTAGACATCCTTGTCTTGTTTTGGATTTCAGAGAAAAAGCTTTCGACTTTTCCTCACTCAGAGTGATGTTGTCTGTGAGCCTATCATGTGTGAGAATTAAGATACTGAAGCATGGAGAAGCCATGCTGAGTCCAGGAGGTGCACAACAGGAAGACAGTTTGCCCTTCGGTATGCCACGCAAACCATGCAGGATCCAGGAAGACAGAAGCCAGATTGCCCTCCTCATGAGCTGACCTGCGTGTGGACTGAGAATGAATAACCCATCCTGAACCCCAGTAAACTGGTTCCGAGGACAGGCTGAGTTGGGAGCAACTAAGGTACAAAAACAACTGAAGTGTTATACTGTTTGATTGACTTTGCAGGCCTGGGGCCACAAATCTGAGCATCTACTAGGAGGATGACAGCATGCAA